TCATCGCTTGGAGTGTCAGGGTTAATAGAGTACACTGGGTTGGGTTGGTGTGGTGCTTGTGAACGGCATGCTTTGGCAAAGTGGTTCATTTTATTGCACTTTTTGCACCTCTTCCCTTTTGCAGGACACTCCTCCTTCTGGCTGTGTGCTCGTGCACATCTTCCACACACTTTTCCCATCTTATTATAATGAGGTGCCCTCCTATCTTTTTGCTGCGTACTCTGGTGCTTAGCGGATACTGCATGCACGGGCGCTGCTCCCTGCAGGCTAGTGTGTGGGTCAACCATGGCTTTCAATTGCTCTCGTGCGATCTCATAGGAGCGTGCAATGTCTATGGCTTTTTCTAGAGTCAAATCTGACCCTTGGCTCAGCAGCTTTTCTCTGACTTGTGGGAAACTGGTTGCGAAGACAATCCTGTCTCCGACCATTTCATCACTGTTAACATAGCCACACTGCTTGACGAGTAACTTTAACTCGGTCACAAAGTGCTCAAATGACTCCCCTTCACCTTGGAGTCTTTCATTAAACTTGTATCTGGCGAAAATGGTGTTCGTTTTCGGCATGAGGTACTGTTCAAACCTGTCGAGATATGTGGTCAGCTTTTTAGCTTCTTCATCCGATAGCTGCCATGTGTTATAAATGTCCCTGCCTCTTTCTCCTACCCACAGAAGAAGATAGCTGCACTGGGTCTCCTCGGGCTTGCTGCTTAGCGGGCCGCTAAACATTAGCTTCACATGTTGTACGAACCTCCGCCAGGCATCGGGAAGGTTGGCTGAATCCCAGTCTATCCGTGGTGCAGGAACTCCCGACGAATCCATTTCGCTCTGTCAGTGGGCGTTTAGTTCGATTTACTCTGACACCATGTAATGTTCTGTCTCAAACTTATGAATAACGTGTTCGTAATCTGCTTCGTGAGCCACCATTCTCTTTATTGCCGCTCGTTCAGTTCAACATAAAACACACCCACTTTAGTGAAAACAAACACTCCCCGTTGCCACTACGGTGGACCACAAGGGACAGTAAGCACGGAGAGCAAACATTATAAGCAATACAACAGTGATGAGCAGTGTTTGCGTACTACAGTGGCATCACGACACCACTCGTCACGGATGTAAACACAGACCCCGCCACCTCGGGTCTTGCCTCCGTCTACGGGAGCCCTCTGTGAAGAACAAAGGGTTCTGATGAGGTACCGTTGGTATAGACTGAAGCAGTCCAATTAGTGTAAATGAGCTTGATACAATGAATAAAGTTAGGACCAAAACCAAACCTCCAAAGTGTGTGAAAACGATAATCCCACTCAATCCGATCGAACGCCTTTTTGGCGTTAAGCGATATTACTGCTTCTGGGGATGGAGTATCAGCCTCAGTATAGATGATATTAATATCTCAAAAACCAAAGCAGCACAAATGATAATTGTACCTGCACAAATCTTCAAAAACGAAGCACTAACCGCTCTAATGCCTCTCTAACGCCTATTTGCCTTTACTTTTCATGTTGGTGGGGCGTCAGCTTCACTCTGGCTAAAAAATCCCCTCTTGCCCCCTCCAGGCGGTCTTTATCCTTCAAGTTCAGGTCCTCTACCAGAGGCCTGGGAGCTTGAAGGTCCTGCGCAATATCTTTTTATTTTCCTAGGACTGCGCTCTTCTGGACAGAGATCTGCAATGCTGTTCCTGGGATCTGCTGGAGCCACTAGCTTGCGGGTCACTGCACTGAGTACTCCGATTACCTTCACCCTCCAGATCTTCTCTTCTCTGAACCCTTAGTACTTCTCCAGCTTCTCGTGCTCCTTCTTCCTGATGTTGCTACGGCCCTCTTCTTCTGCATCTCTACCACCACTATGTCCAGTTGGTAGTGTAGATTCATTTAAAATAAATGTATGGCTATTTTTACAAACACTGTTATAAAATAGTCAAAACCAAGTCACTTATCAAAATATCAAGTTTAATGTCTTAAATTGTTCAGACAAAAAGCCTTGAAAGTATCAACAAAAAACAGAAAAATGGAAACAAGAAAAGGAAAACAATCCACCAACAACAGTCTCATACATAAATATAGTACCAACAAAAACATTTTAAAACTCAACCCTTGCACAAACATGTATAAAATACAACGTGCAGTAAAATATTGTATTTACATATATGCATTAGTTCAATTTTCTCATCATAAATTGGGCTTTGCCCTACTGGTGAAACCATTACATACAAACACTTTTGGTGAATGTACAGCCTGAGGAAAGAAAACTCACAAACACAACAGCCATGTCTTGCTCACTAATGCAAATTGCGCAAGGGTGCACTGCTTCTTGTCACAATCTTCCTTATATTATAATGAAAACATTCTTTCTATTACTGTGCTTCCGCTTACTGTTGTCCTATAAGAAGTTAAAGTAGACCGATAACTTTTATCTCTTCTTATATCCCACTGTGGGTGGTATCACTCAGTGGTTTGCCCTCTGATAAATTAATGATGACTAATCAGGTGGCAGTGTGCGACAGCTGCATTCTGTCAAGTGTTGTTGGAGCACTGCAGTGTCTTTCTATCGTGGTTTCGATACCACAACATTTGTCATCTATTCATAACTACTTAGCTATTTCATAGCTTCAGGGAATCTTATAAAATTGCAACAGAAGTAAAAAAAGCAAAGTTGTTATTTTGAGGGAATCGCTTTTCCAAGGGTCAGTTCAATCATCTTTATCTTTCATTGTGCCAAAGTGGAACATAAATAGTAACTCATATCTGTCTGTGATATTTATTACTTCGGTAGAGAGGTAAATGATTTCCATGGTGCCTTTTGCACTACAGTGAACTCAGTCTGGGCAAACACTTTCAGTTTTGGAGATATATTATGAATCAAAGAGGCAGAAATTCCACATTAGAACAGTGGCAGACTGAGAGACTGTTTGAGTCAGACTGTTAATGCTAAAATTATTTCTATATTCATATTCTTCAGTGTGTAGAAAATTTGTAAAAACAAACCAACAACAACAACAACAAAAAACAAACAAACCAAAAAGCAATTTCTGCAAAGAGCTGTCGGTTTCTCTCCACTAGATGTCACTAGATTGCAGCCAACTGAATTTTGTTTTCTTCTCTTCCAATTCAAGTACCTAATGGTAGCTATGGTGGCTGCTGTAGGACAATAAACTCTGGAAAAAACTAAATCAACAACTCAAGATTAGAAGAAGATTAGAAGAAATCTGCACTGATGTATTTTATTGGACTAATTCTAAGTTTATGAGACTGCATCATAATTACATAATAATCAATGTATATTTATAAGCACAACACTTTTTCTATTAAGTAACTTAAAAAATTACTGGGTGTATATTGTGAACTGACCCTTTGAAAGTAAACTCTGGTGGAACCCTTGAAGTAAAATGTATTTTAAATTAACTAAGAGCTGAAACCAGCAGCTCTTAGTTAACTATGCAGATAACTCAAACAGCCATGAGACTATGCCTACACTCACATTTAAACATATATAAGAAGAATTACATTCACTGAAGGTTGGGAGTTAGAAATGTGGGGGGAAGTAGGCACACAGGTTAATCAAGGGAAAAGAGATAAAGATGAAAGCAAAGCACTTTTAGACCCAGGTATTATGATGTCACTGTTTTCAGTGGTGTCCGAAATTACTTCCTCATTTACTTATAATCTATAATCTTCATTCATCTCATTCAACTCGTGAGCAGAAGTGACATCCCTGACAGAACTTAAAAGGTTTCATCTGCTGGTTTTCATCTAGAATACAAATTTTGGCTGGTGCATGCATAATATCCGATCTTATAGGAAATCTGTCAGAGCTGCATCTTTCATATCATATTTTCAGTCAATTTAACAAGCTCTCACTGCCTGACTTAGTGATATGCTGATGGCAGTGATGTCTCAGGCATTCATGATTTTCCAGTGTCCTTAACCAAAAGAGAAGTGGACCCAGGAGACAAACAGGAATGTTGGAAAACAAGTAAGCAAATAGAAAGAAAGGAAACAAGATCATAGATAAAGATGGAAATGCAGGACCCGAAGGAAGCCGTCAGGAGATGAGGCACAACAGGAACAGGCCAAGGTGAATCAGGCAACATCCAGAGAAGAGGAAGTTGAAGACAGAAGAAAAAGAGAAATGCAGTACATTACAGACTGTGATCAGCACTATCACGTATCAGAAGAAAAAGTAAAGAGAGTGCCTAATTTGCCAAAGTAGAAAAAATGCATTTACTTGATACATTATTCATTCGTTCCTCAAAACAAAACAGTAGTCACATTAAAAACAGTCTAAGTATGTACATATATATCATTTGATCATCAGCAGGCCAGCTTTACATTTTTCACATTTCTTTAAAAAACACTATTTACAGCATTTTTGTTGACTGATGGTGTAATGGTTCCTCTTAGCTTCATAAAATTTCAAATTTTTCTGAAATGAAAATGTAGATTTTGATGAGCAATGACTAAAATAAATAGGTAAACATTTTGAATGTTGATGTTATATAGTGTAGTGGGTTGGTTCACCCAGATTATGAATTTACTGTCACTCCATGACACTTACTCTGTTGTTTTCCAGTGTCCAGGGTGAGAAAGCCTGCGGTTGAGTTTAGGGAGTCTGTCCAGCATGCCTGCTAGCTGGGTGAAAGGTGGCCTGTCATCTGCCGTAAGGGACCAGCAGGCAGACAGGATCTCCTGTTGGGATGGTAGGTAACAGATAGAACATGGTGATTGGTTGGTAATCAAATTTTAATCAATATGAAAATAATAATAATATAATCAATATTAATACTTTTAATACTTTACACGTGTTGTTATCCAGAAGATGCCTTTTAAGAAAAGATTTTGCTTATTTCAAGACAATGCTAAACAAAATTTGTTGAGAACTGAAAACATTTGATGCATGGTGATGAAACTGAAATTTTACAAATTTATGCCTTTGCTTTCTTTCTTTTCTTTTCTTTACTTTTCTTTTTGATGTCCTCCGAAACCCGAGTTGCTGCTTCAGCTACCGCCTGAACCACATTTAGTTTGGCCTTGTGGTACCCATCAGCTTCCTCTGAAGTCCTACAGGCTAATCCAACCTGATAGGACTCCTTTTTCAGCTTGATGGCCCCATCACCACCACCACGAAAGCCATCAACCACTTAGGAGCAACAGCTTGAAACAAGTCCTTAGCGGACGAAGTTTGCCCTGAGTTCCAAAAGCCTATGGAAGCTGTAGGGCTGTCTTGGTTGACACGGCTCTACAAGCAGAACACTGTACAAGCTCTTCAAACTCTTAAATATATTTGGAGGCAGGTGAGAGTTTGCCCAATGAGTCTACATGTTTTTAGCAGACTTGGAGAAAGCTTTTTCCTGCATCCCTTGGAGTGCTCTCTGAGGGCCGTCTGGTCCGTAACTATGAGCCATTTGGTCTCTGTACAACTGTTGGTCTGCCTTACTGGCAATAAGCCAGAGTTGTTCCCCGTGGGTGTTGAACTCAGCTAGGCCTGAATTAGACCAGACCAGTGGTGAAAGTAACAGCTACATAGCCCATGCGTATCCTAGAACCGGATGTTGATGTAGTGGAGAAGTACAAGTAGCTGGGTGTAACATCAACAACAGTCTAAACTGGGAGACCAGCACAGAAGCTGTATAAATCACACTGAACAACTCTACAATACAACTGTGTGGCAAGGAAAGATGTGTTCCGTGTTTTATTTCTACCATTCGCTCTTACAACACTAGTAATGTCATTATGCTGTGCTGTGTTGATGTTGAAATGCAATACTTATGATTATTATGATGATTATTATTAATACTGCTGTTACATCAACAGCATTTCCCACATTAGGAACAAAGAATATATATATTGTAAATTGTTGACAGTTACCAACAGGGTCAGTTTTTTCGTAGACATGATCTTCAGACTCACCGTGACCTCCTTGCCCAGATTGGACTCTAACAGCACATTCTTAATGCCTTCATTACGACCCACTAGCCAGATTATAGTTTCCACAGGCTGGTTGGTAATTGGCCAGTCTCGCATCTGCAGCTCATACCAGATTGTGCTGGAAATGACACAAGATCCTTTCATGTACTACATTATTTTACATTTTCTTACATCATGTGCTCAAATATGCAACATGGAGCATGAATAAAATAGAAACAAAGGTTTTAAAAAACTGTGTGCAGTTCTAGCTGAAAGTTGCACATCATGTCTGGATAGCTGAATTTATGGTTCTACAAAAGCAACTTTACTATGTTAGCTGGCAACAGTAAAAATCCTGATTTAACTTCGAGAAAACCAAACAATTAAACAATTGTTATGTACCACAGAAAACACGCTAATATAAAATTATAACAAAGTAAAGGTTAAGAACCTAAAAGGCAGAACTGCATAATATAAACTATAGCTTCAATATCACATTAATAGTTTCTAGTATAAATGGCACTAGTCAATACCCAAAAGCATAAATATCAGCAGCTTTGGAGAAAGGCAGCTGGTCCTCATCAACCTCTGGGCTCAATTTTCGAACAATTTCTGGAGCCAGGTAGCAGATCCAGCCCTGTGGTATCCGCAGCACATTCTTTCTTCTAAACACAGAAACACAGAGAAGAATAATTAGGAGAAAAAACATGGCTCACCATAAATTTATTGCCTAGATGCAGTTTCTTTCACTCTTACCTGCCTTCTTGTACCACACCAGACATTCCAAACAGGCCAAAGTCTGTAATCACCACCTTGTTTGTGTCATAGAACACATTCTTGGACTTCAGATCTTTGTGAATGATGCCTTTAGCATGAAGATAACCCATTCCCTGCAACAAACAAAGATTTTCTGAACAAAAGATATTCCTACATTCACAAAAAGAAAATGAAGACGACCCAACAGTAGATATTTTTAGTTTATATGTTTAAAGCCTCGTTGTGTAGATTTTTATTTTACGTGTGACACTAAACTTTTTCAAATCGTGGCACTGGGGATGAGGGGAAGCACCAAAACATGCTGAAGTGCAGCATATTTCAATCTTGACATTGTATCCAAAACAGTACATTTTCCTACTTGTTATATAATGTACATAGTGTATGTTTGGCATTTCTTGGCTACAATTCCATCTTATTTATCAACCAATAGAATATGCAGGTATTACTTACCTTAACGATTTCCTGTGCAATCTGTCTGGTTTTATTTATGTCCAGCAGGTGACCTCTTTCTCTTACAACAGAATACAGAGTCAGACCCTTACAGAAACTGCAGAGGAAACACATGCAGTATGGTTACAAAATAAACATCACATCACAAAAAGTCAAAAAAGCAGCAAACAACTTTTTGTATAGAACTTTATATACAACAGTGCACATATGCACTTGTGGTTGGAACTGCACTTGAAATGGGGGGAAGCCAGCACGAGTGACAATGCAGTGTTTAGGTGAGCAGTCATGCAGCAGTACCTGGTGATAATAGCAAGATGAGGAGGAGCCATGCATGCACCCATGAACAGGATGACGTTCTCGTGCCTGGTCTGCCTGTAGTTCATAACCTCTTTTTTGAAGACTTTCAGATGATCCTGATTGTTGCCATCAATCTCTAGAAGGCGAATGGCCACCTCACCATGCCAGCGACCTTTATGCACCTTACCCCAGCGACCCTGGACATAAAGCCAAAATTTAAATTAATAATAATGTTTTTTCTTTTCATTTTTTGAACAGGATTTTATATTTCTACGATACAAATCTGCTTTCACCTTTCCAATAAGCTCTCCCAGCTGTAGTTGCTCATACGGGATGTCCCACTCCTGGAGGTAGACACTGGTCTGGCTGACCTTACGAGAGATGGGGACCCCAGAACGGCCAACAGCCTGACGGCGGCATATAGAAGAGGGTAGATCATCCAGACCATCTTCATCATACTCTTCCTTGGAATAACTCTTTTTTGTGTCAGTCTGGTCAGCTTCTTCTTTATCCATAGCTGTGTAATCTTCCTCTCCTTCCTCTCCTTCCTCTTCCTGTAACACATGGCAGAAGAATGAAAGTGAACACTGATGTTAAACACTTTGATATCTATTACTGGAAATAGCAGCACTTGGTATACAAATGTGAAATAGGTATTGCAGTCTTGTAATTCTCCATTCAGACCAAAAGTGTTTTGGATAGTTATACAATTCTTGTGGTTGCTGGAAGAAATATTTGATGGAATAAATAACATCCATCAGTATGAAGAGTATGAAAAGATTGCTCCACTGGGATGCTGCTGCCTTTTAGCCTGGAAAGTTCATCGTCATTAGGAGGAAATGTTTACCAATATCTTCAAAGATAATGGCAGGCAGGAAATGAGCTTAAGTTAAATAAAGAAATATAATAAACCCAACTAAACATCCCAGCAAATCCATTACAGGCTGGACCTCAATCCAATAGAGATACTGTGAAATAACCTCATGTAGACAGTCACACTGGGTGTTGAATGAATCAGCTGGATCTGAAGCAGTTCTGCGAGGAATAAAAACGTCCCGAACACTGGGTAGGTCTGATGTTAATATAGCCAACACATCATTTAATGTTTCCACCAAAAAAGTACTGCCTAATGGGAATGTTCAATACAGGACCTCTGGTTATGGCTGTAGGATCATTAATGAGAAGACACGAGGATGGGTCTCTAACAAAGTACTAAATACAAGGTCTGAATATTTGGAATAGGATAATAGAAATGGAACAGTTTTTAATACATTAACAAAGCAGCCAAAAACTTGCTTTTGCTGAAGTATTGTGTGTAGATTTGTGAGACAAGAATGAATTGAATCGTTTGAACAAAAGGCTGAAAAATAACAAAATTTGGAACATTTGAAAGAAGCTGAAAAGTTACCAAATGGATATCAGTGCCAGAAAAAAAGGAACATGCTTTAGCACAGTGCATTGGCAAGTACTGTAAACCAAAGGAAAATGACATGAGAAAAATATACATGTAATGGAGACAAACCAGCAAATCACATCCTTTTCCTTTCATCTTTTTAATTTAATATACTGCAATCCAATCCAATCCAATTTTATTTATAAAGCACTTTAAAATACCCAACACAGGACCAAAGTGCTGTACAGAAAATAAGTTATGTGGCTTCTATTACTCACCAATCCCTGTTCTGTGGCTGTTATTTGTGTCTCAGTAATCACCATCCTGAAACCAAAGAAATTAACAAGAATTCACCAAAATTTGTAACAAATTAATTTATCTTTAGAATAACTACATTTGGAAACTTGCTGAGAGCTACTGGCTGCCAAAACGGCTCCTCTTTCTCCTCTTTCCATGTCCCGGCATTGTGCTGGGCAGCAAAACTATTTTGTTCCAAACCCTCCTGGAGCCTTATTTTATAGAGTTTGCATGTGTGGCTTTTATCCAGGTGCTCCAATCCAAAAACACCGGCCCGCATAAAGAACTATATTGTCAGTGGCTGGGTCTCTGACCCAGCATTTTGAGTGTTTTTTGGTAAATTTGTATTTTCTTAGAATAATATGTGTAGTTCTGGTGTTGCATTATTAGTTAGGTTTTAGTTGAGCCTATTCTAGTTTAGGTCCATCTATGTCCTCTTCTGTAAGTCTGTTCTGGTTTCCTTTATGTAGTCTGCCATCTATTTCGTGTCAGCATATTTCATGTTGTCTAGTTGGTGCTGTCGTTTCTACGTCTGTGTTTCCTGTTGTATTTTGAAGGTCTGGCGTTTCCTCGTTCAATGTGCTTAGTTTTACACTTCCCCTCTGGTGTCACTATGTTCATTTGTGTCATGTGATTCCACTTCCCCTGATCAGCCCTTGTGTGTATTTAGTCTGCGTGTTCCATTCTGTTTGTCAGAACGTCTGTGTTTCCACGTCTAGTCATAATCATAGAACTCATAGTAATCTTAGTTGTCACCGTTATCATGTTTGATCAGAATTTTCAGTTAGTTTTCCCAGAATGGGTTCCAGTTTAGTTGTCGTTCTTGTTTTGGGGTCTGTTCATGTCTACCAGTCTGAATAAAACAGCTCGCTTTTTGTTCAAGGCTCTGCTCCGTCTCCCCCTATGTCCGCACCTCATTTTCACACTCTCGCAGTCAGCTCCTGCTGACCGTGACATATATGAACAAATGGCTTACAGTGTAAGTGCCCTAAAGCTAGAAAAATGTGATGTAAGATTCGACTTTATTCTCCTGCAAGGAGGCAGACCCAGGAATGGAGTTTCCTAAAACCACAAATAAAGGTGGTCAGTATTTTGATAGGATGTAATATCAGCAGAAACTCAGAGGCCATTTGTTTCCAACTCATGTTATCTTATGAGTTTTACAAATTCAAGAAAATTTTGTAAATAAACTATTTTTTAGGTTTTAGTTTATGTTTTACAAAAACATTAACAATAATAATTTTGAATATCACCATAAATACTATTTATGTACAGTGTGTGCTCTCTACATAGCAATACTGGATTTAAAAAAAAAAGAGTTTAAAAGAAAAACCGCAGTGATATACAGGTCAATCTAACAATACTTTTTAAAAAAATCTTAAAATTTGCGTTGCTCTGATGGATAAAGAGAGTGACTCACTGTGTCAATATAAAAAGAGGAGGAAGGCTGTAAAACCTTGCAAAAGAGTCCAATGCAAGTCAATGTCATTGAAGCTCACCTCTCTTTAATGACAGATGGTGAGTTGTCGAAGATATCCTCAAATTTTCTGCCAGTTAGTGCTGCCATTTTTGCTGTTGTTAGGTGCTGCTAACTTGTGTTAGTGAAACTTTCTTTTTAGTGGAACAAACACTTCAATCAGCTGTTGTTCACACAGCTCATAGTAAACTGGAAAGGGGAGGGTCGCATGTCTAATCTCGTGACAATAAGCAATTGTGACAATATTGGGGATAAATAAGTATGTTTATGTACACGTAAGCGTTCATGTGTTAGAGACTTCGATTGAGGTAAGGAGGAAGAGGATGAGGGGGAAATAAGGAAGGAGAGAGAGCAGCGGTGGAGGAGGAGAAAGAAAGAGAAAGGAGAAATATCAAACTATACCTACAAATGTTAAATGCTAACATACAGTTTGAAAGAGCCATTTGTGAACTTTAAAGTAATTTAGAAAGTGTACTATGTAAGTGGACTGTTTGGCAAAGCACTGCTACTGTTTGAATTCCTACCAAATCTGACTTGAACTCATGTATATATCTTTCTACGTAGCACTTTTAATTCTTATCCCTACTTTTATTTTTTCATGTCTATTTAAGAGCTATTTATGACACTATGTTTGCACTGAAGCACCGCAGCAATTTCCTAATGCTGTAAACCTGCTCAACATTTGGCAATAAACCCCTTTCTGATTCTGATTCTGATAGTAAGTATATGAATGAAATAAAAGTGCATCATTGGATCGCTACATGAATGTTGTATTCTCTTACCCAGACTCATTGTGACTGCCAGAATGCTGAATGCTGCATGTGGAGGCAGGAACATCTGTTGGAAAACTCAGCTTGAGAGCACTGCACTACTACAAAACTACTTATCATCATTCCAAATTGATGCTTGGATACTTGCAGTACATGACATGAGGACAAAGGATGTTAAATCCAACATAGTTTGAAGCTGTCAAACTATCACGTTTGAGCATTTAAAAATGTTTTTAACCAGTTTGACAATAAAAGACTTTACAACAATTCTTTGAATGGTTCAAAGACAGATCACGATGCTCACATGCTCAATCATTCACTTGACACTTTTAAACATGAAAAACTGGTTTTGCCATGCAGCCCAGTTTTAAAATAAAAGTTGGTTATTCTCAAAAATCTACATAAAAACAGAGTACACTGATTTTCATATCATTTTAAACTTATTTGGAATAACTCACCAAATATTTTTTTAATCATATATTTTTTTAATCAATTTTTTTTAAACACAAAAGGTGCAGTTTAAGGTATACCTCGAATTCTCCAGCGTTTTTTTTACAACTGAAGAAGCCTCTTTGATGAGAATTGAAACATCTTCATAAATTAAAGATGTCCAGCTGTCATCTTTTTTTCAAGCTCTTAAGACTCACAGGGCTGTAAACATTCCCCTAGTCCCACATCTCAACAAAGTCTTCCTGACAACAAATGAGGCCTTATTTTCCACAAAAACACACTTTTCACTTTTGTTAGAGATGTAATTTCTACAACTTTAATGTTTAATTGAATTTATAGTTAAATATATCGTTTCTAAGAGTGAAACAATGCTGTCTTTATTACGTTGCATACCTGGGAAGTTGAAGCGGTTGTCCCAGGAGCTCTGTGGTGATGGGTTAGGTGGGGGGGTGGCACTTACGCTTGAAGGGTTACTCTGCTGGAAATGTGCTGGAGAGGAAGGTGTGGAAGAGGTGGCTGATGACGGGTTACTGCTGGATTCCAGCTGGTTAATACTGGGGACAGGGTCCTCCAAACACACAAGGAGTCCATTATTTCAATTATTTCACATTATTTATTTCTTGCACACTGATCTCAACAATCTTCTCCATTTCAGTATTGAAGAATAGAAAGAGCTAGAGCAGACCTGAATGAGATATAACACATATTAGAAAGCTGCACTTACCCTTTTGGTTAGTGCCTTTGGTAAGGTGCCAAACTGCACTGAGACTTCGGCTGTGTGATCAATCCGATTGTTGATGTCTGATGGTACCGATTCTGCCCTACGCATCCTTGGCACTACCGGTCAGATAAAAATACAAGCTTTGAGCTTAAAATATTTTCAAAACTTTACAATTCCTAAAATAAAATAAACAGGCCCTAACATGTTAGATTCTTGCTGATACTATCCTGCCCATTATAATATCCTTCCTAATATGCTACTAGTGTAACTGTCAAAGCTAAAGGGAGTCCATTACAAAATTAATAGCATTGTTGCCAGTAATCGCTAGACTTGAATCACCTGGATGATTTGTCTACAGACATTACTAAGTACTGTCATGTGCCCTCATCTTCCCTTCCTTCCCCAGGCTGGGTTTGCATCTCCTCTCGAGGTCCATGTTGTAGTGTAGAGCGGCACCAGTTGTGACCTGGCATACCCTTTGTTACTGATTTCTAAGAACTACAACTGACCACAAAGAAAAATATAATTTCCATAACAATTTTCCTAAAACTACAAGTTGTAGGATATTTTCCCACTTATAGAACTGAAAAAAACCCCCCTGTATACCCACTTTTATCTAACATATTTTCCCTTACCAAAACCCCCACATTTCAATAGAGTTATAAAACAAATCAGTGGTAATCCCAGTATGTTTACGAATTCACTAGATAACAGACTAACACTTTTTTTTTTTACTCTCCTTTACTCATAGAATTGAGCAAATGATCAAGGACTGCTGGCTTGTAGGTAGCTAAATTTAAGTGGACTGGCTTTTATTTAGCACTATTCTACTCTATCCAAGTACTTAAAGCATTTATACAGCATGCCTCATTCACCCATTCATACATGTACTTTTTTTCTACGCAAGTGCTTTCTATCTAACTTTCACACACATTTACACTCGGCTGACTGTATCAGAGGGCAACTTGGGATTAGTATCTTGCCCAGTGATATTTGGCATGTAGACTGGAGTATACAGGGACAGAACCACCAACCTTCTGATTAAGGATGACCTGCTCTACCTCCTGAGCTACAGCCCCACCCATTTCTGACCTCTGGATAACAGTTTCATCACAGTCAGGACTTTTCATACTGATATATGTGCGGCTGTGAGTAAGCACATAACTATTTGCCTGCACTGCTGTGCATGTGTTGCACATGCATGAAATGGACCAGGTAGTAAGTGAACATAGGTGAGGATGACCAACCGGTCACTGGTCAGGGCCACGAATGCTGGAAATTGGCCCGTTCCAATCTCTAACCAGTCTAACCAGATTTCTAATGTAGTCTTTAACACCACTAGACCAGTAAAGTCACACATCACTAAATTATTTTAATGTTGCTTACATGTAGCAAATGATATCCGACATGAAGGTGCATCTTTGGTACACTTGTTATGGCACTTTAACCTGTGAGGAGAAGAATACTCTAAATAGTACACTAAAGAAGTCATGACAAGTTGTACTGCAGTCTGACAGAGTGCACGATCTTATCTTTACAGTTCTTACTTGCAGTGTTTACACTTGACACCAAACATCATGCTCTTAGAACAAACTTGACATGTTTGGGAGAGCCAGGACTTAGTCGAAAACCTGCAAAAGAGAAGGAGAACAAATATGACAAATATATTGAGAAATATGTTTAAGAATTTAGTCAGGTGATAATAGATGATGAGTAAAACCCTAGCCTTAAATTTTGTGACTGTATATCTAAATGTAGAATTTTAACTTAATAATAATTTCATTTAGAATGACTGACAGTGTAAAGTCATATAGTAACTTCTGCATGCTGTGAATACAAAGGAATTCAGGAAAGAACAAAAAACATCTTGTTCATCACGCTGTTCTTAGAGCTTTTTTTTTCTTAAGCTAAAAAAACGTAAATTTCTCCTGATGAAGCCAAAGGCCTGATCACAGGTTCAAATGTCATTTCAGTCTGCTAATAAGAATAACATTTCATATGTAAAAAGGAGTATAGTATTACATGTAGTACAGAGGATAGTATATCCAGTATAGTACAGTATGAAATAAACATACTATATGTTTACATAAAATTTCACTCAAATTGGACTCAAAGGCTATTTCATGGGCATTCATGGGCTATTCCTTCATTCCTTCAGATAAAATCAAGATCAACCTCGACCAGACTGACAGCAAGAAAAAAAGTATGGAGAAGGTGTGAAAGGGCTCATGAACCAAAGCATACCACATCATCTGTAACACGGCAGAGGCCGTGTGATGGCATGTGCGTGCATGGCTGCCAGTGGCACTTGGAAACCCGTGTTTATTGATGATGTGACACAGGACAGAAGCAGCCGAATGAATTCTGAGGTGCTCAGAGACATACTGTCTGTTCAAATCCAGCTAGATGGACAATGACCCAAAACATATAGCCAAAGCAAGCCAGGGGTTTATTAAGGGAAAGGAGATGAATATTTTTGAATGGCCACCTGATCTTAACCCAATTGAGCATGATTTCACTTGCTGAAGACAGAAAGGCAACAGCAACTGAAAGCTGCTGCAGTAAAGGCCTGGCAGAGCATTAAAAAGGAGGAAATACAGCATCTGGTGATGTACGTGATTGCCAGCAAAGGGTTTTCAACCAAGTATTAGCCATTGTAAGTAATTTATTCAATTACTTTTAAACCCCTGAAATTAAGGGATTGTTTTAAAAAAATGTTCTAGTTCCTCACATTGTTATGCAATCTTTTTGTTTAACCCACTGAATTAAATCTGAAAGCCTGCACTTCAACTGCATTTGGGTTGTTTCATTTAAAATCCACGGTGGTGATGTACAGAACTAAAACTAGAGAATGGGTTTCCTGAAATAATGCAGAGTGAATACTGACAGCTGAAAGGTTTGAGTTAGATTTTTATAATTGCTCAATCTTGTACAGCAGTGTGTACACTGAATATGCTGACTCATTCACATGAAAGCCAAACTGCAGAACTGTTGAAAACTGAAGTTCACACAGAAGTTTCAAAGTAGCCAAACGTCTTTACAATGTACACTAGAAAAAGCTAATGACAAAAGAAAATTTTGAATCATCAAATAAATCGGAATGAATATTGAAAGCTGATATTCTTTAAATCACTTGAAGAGTTGTCTTATGTGTTTTAAACATCTAAACCCAAGAATCTTAAAATCTTGAAAGAAAAAGCAGAATATCTGCATGTCTACTCTAATCTGCTGTGTGTGCAGATCAATGACTTCTTCTCAAACAGGAAGTCAGTAAAATAAAGTCGAATGGACGGCAGCATCTTGTCAGAGGACAGTGTGACAAACACTTTAATCGAGGGTTCGTCAGCATCTTCTTAGCAGAGGTGGTGACATGCCACATTCTGCTGTTGTTGCTTCCTTTCAAACAGGAAGTCAGTGACCCACCTGAAAGTGGAGCTAAAGTTCACAAAAAGTAGCCTGTCATAAGATCCTGCAGAGTCCAGATTCTCTTTCACAAAAGGGCTTATTCAAATCTTTGGAAAGTCATCAACTGACACTAAATAACCTGCTGAGTGTGTGTGTGTGTGTGTGTGTGTGTGCCTCTCTGCAGGTAAAATAGTTGTTAATCTTAAACTGTTTTGTGAGTTTTATTTTCAGACCAGGTCCATGTTAGCGGGGAGATACAGACAGACATTATATTAGGTTAGATGAGTTGAAATGTGGGAGAATCCACTACAGACAGGCAAATGGTTTCAGCTCTAATATCCAGCCAGAAAAGATGATTCAAAAAGTCATCTACTGACCCCAACTTCCCAGATTTGAACCACCTATCTGCTGAAGACAAATCCACCAATAAAAAATAAGCCTGGAGTTAACTGGCCAATCAGAATGCTTTATCCAGTTACTACTGCCATACTGTTACTCTGTGGCAAATTCCTGTCAGATTTCTCTCGGTGCACTGGTTGAAAAACTGCTTCTAAATCCAAAAGCGTAATGCCTAAAAATATAATAATAATTTTTTAAAACTAAAAAAAAAAATACAGAAGATGGAATGATAATAATCATAATAAAGATTAGGCTAACAACAATACTGTGAATGGTTATCTGCATTCACACTTGCACAAAGATTATGCAGATGATATCACTGATATCAAGATGATATCAATTTATTGATAAATGAATGTCAAAAGTTTTATGTTTTTAGTTCACTTTAGCTTCAGTTTCCAGATTTTATGTTTTGAAAATGTGTAATTTTAGTTTAGTTTACATTTTTGTGTTAGCCGTTTGTTTTTATATTCTAAGTGGTATCTCAAAAAAAGCCTAATATGTTTTAAGAACTACTGTACAGACAAACCACTTCATGTCATGTAAACATCCCAGACTCGACATGCACCAATTCCTCCTGATAGCTGTTGTGTTAACATTTCCTGTTTATTTTATTTGGCTTAAGTTAGATGCTCAAAATATTGTTTCAGTTAGTTTTCGAAACACAATATGTAAAATGCATCACCTGCAGTGGCCATAACATAACATGTGATAACTAGAAGTTTTTTTCAAACTGGTTACTGACCTGTGGGTTACAGCCAGGCCAATGTCTCTTCTTATTGTATGGGGGGAACTTCTCTGCATGGCTAGATCTGTGAAGAATATTAGAAACCAGCATATCAAAAGAAGAGATTTTGTCAAATTGATACAGAGAAGGGCCAAAAGTCTATGTGAACAGAAATCCACTCCGGTAGCTTTTATAGAAACTCACTGTCCAGTAAGATGGGGGCGACGGGCATCATGTATGGAGCTGAGGCTGGGACAGGGCCAGGTGTTTGGGCAGACAGCAGAGGTGATCTTAGACCTGAATCTTCAGAACTGATCCCAGAGCCGTTGATCTGAATAGCAGCCAACACTTTCTTCTTCTTACAGGCCCTGCAAAGACACCGACAAATTTGTAAATTCTACAGTGAAACCTCCTTACACTATAAATGTGATTCATGAATTACACTATCACTATAAGGATAGACAAAATGATTTTTAAATTAGTTTTCACAATTGTGGAGATAAGAAATTGATTCAGGAAAGTACATAGAAATCTTCCTGTCAAAGTAGAGCTGAAAATGTATGACTGCAGAATTCCTTTTAAAACCTACTTGCGTGTCCCAGGATCCTCGTTGCGGTTGGTCGGCTGTGAGTCATGACTCTTGTTTTTTGTCAGTGCAATATTGGGAAGCAGTTGCAACAGTTTGCGAGAGGGTGGTGGTGGTGTGTGGGAGGACTTGAACGTGTGGGTCTTTGAGACCTGTGTTAGCGAAGGGGTGCTTGATTCCAAAGAGAACGGATCACTCATGTTCTCAGCTGGTACAGTTGGTCTCTGGTCATCTGAACAGGGTACCACTGATATAGAGATGGAGCGGCCATGATTGCTGTTGGGTTTTAATGAGGTAAAAGGGCTACCAGAGCTTAAAGAGGGTCTAATAGGAGAAAAGGGACTGCTGTCCTGTTGTGACTCAGAACTGCAGGAGCCTGAGTTATGCCTCAGATCACCTCCTAGAATTAAAGACAGTTTGGATCATTACTTGTGAAATACAATCAGTCTGATCAAACTTTTAACACCTCTGTAGGAGCTGAAAATTAGACTGTATTATTTAGTGCCAATCCTCATTTCTTTATATTTTGCTTCCAAGGAATAACACTTTTTTCTGTATTTTTTTAAAGTGGTCATCAGCAATAGTCCTTTCAGATTTCTGTCTAAAGTTTTTCTTTTGACAGTGGCTGTTTCTTCACTCATTGTCAGTTCACTCCCTGTACCTGACCATTTTCCAAGAAGCATTTGTTTTGTTTGTTCAGCAACCTGAGACTGGCCTGTGAATTACTGAATGGATAAAACAGTTTTTTGTCCAAACATAACAGGCAACCTAGCAAAAAACTTTTTAAAAATTTGAATCTTTTTAATTTTAATGTAATATAATGTAATCTTTCATTCACACATCTTTAGCATGTCACAAAAACACATAATTTGTTCCATTTTCTTTGAGCTTAATCTATGAAAAAATCCAGTTACAAAAAATTTGACACATATAAAATAGTATTTTTGCACCAGCAAGTCCCTAAGAGTCTTATATACTGTACTTCCATGTATGCACACATTTCAATAAATTGTTTCCCAATTTCCTTGCAAAAATATGAAGATTAGAGGAGAGACTCCTTACTTTTGAACAGTGCTGCATTTTAGTAATAAAACAATTAGTACAACACAAATGACAAGAAGAAATCCAAACAAAACTAGAGACAATGGGTACATTCAAATACTTAATTTTGCTAAAGAAGGCTCTAAGCAGAGTGAAGTGATCCTGAAGTCTCTATGCAGCAACCATAACATAAGCTGTTCAAAGGCTCCAAATCCTTAGGAAAAGAACTTCAATGCTTCATTACCTCCTTAAAAGAGGACACGTCAGCTGTCCTTTATGTGACGGCATCCTTCACAATATTACCCCACAATTCATAGCTGCGCACAATCTAACCATTCATGAAAAAAGTCAACATATGCTAGATTACATCTACCAGGCCACTGACAAAATTCATGGAAATGGAAATATATTAATTTTCTTCAGTGGAATTTAATAAGTGGGGTTGTTTTTTCAGCATCTAAAACAATGTAGTAGCCACCTCAGATGATTAAAGTATGAATTGTAGCACTGCTATTAAAAAAATTCTTGTATATACCCCTCCCGAAATATCCTCTGATGAATTATTCTACAAATGACTCATGAAAAACAAAACATAGAAGGGGAGGTTCTTTGGTCACCTGTTTCATTAACACTCTTTAGACAGGAGAGAGCAGTAGTGAGGCGAGAGCGATCCTCTGAGTTGGAGCTTAGGCGTCTCATCATGTCCTGCAGCTCAGAGCTGGACATCTGCAGCAAGCTGTCCACCGAGAGCTTCCCTGCTGCAGCCTGCATGACACAAGGATGACATATATCACCGACAGCTTAAGTTATCTACTGTTCACTCGCTTTTATTTATATGCCAGATTTTACCCAAAGTGTATTCCCGTTGACTTAAAATCCAAGTATACCAAAATATAAGCAATACTGCAACCAGCAAAAATGTGTAAACTAGAAAACGAGAGAAACAAAGAAAAAATGATAACCAAAAAACAAGAAAACCAAAAGCAGCTAAACAAGAAATATATATTTTTAAAATTCAATTAACTTGTATTTTGTGGACTTAGAGACATTCATCCCTCTGATCATCCTGTGGGCAGCGGTTCAGGAGTACCAGGTGACTAACGTGTTATTATGGGCCATTTAGTCACTGCAGTAAGTCGGACTCATTCCAGTGAGACCTGGACTCTGTCAAAACTGCCCTTTCTAAATGCTATCCATAACTTTTATGAAAAGAATTTGTGGGCCAAGGTCTATGAGAAAGCCCAGTAGCCTAGGGTTTCTGATTTGGTAGCCTCAGGATCATGTTCCTGGTCTTCACAGATGTTGTTGGCCTCACCAATGAGTGACCCCCAGCTTGCACTAGGGTGGTTTGCAGCTGAAGTGGCTGGGATGAGAATCTACACCTCCAAATCTAAGGTGTAGATTCTCAGCAAGGAAATGGTGGAATGCTCTCTCTGGGCCAGAGATGAATTGTTGGCCTGAGGGAAGGAGTTCGAGTATCTCAGGGTCTAGTTCACAAGTGAGGGGAGAGTGGCGCAGAAGACTGACAGACAGACTGGCACAGCATCTGCAGTACTGCAGATGTTGCACTGGCCTGCTGTGGTAAAGAGGGAGCTGAGCATGAAAGCAAAGCTGTCAACTAACTGGGTGATCCATGTTCCTACAATCACAATGAACAATGAATAAATGAATGTGCTTCTCCCAAAGCGTGGCTACATCGGCTGAGGGGCTTGATCATTCAGGAGGGGCTTAGCGTACGCATGGAAATTGAGAACCAGTTCTTGTAGAGAACCAGTTCTTGTAGAGAACCAGTTCTTGTAGAGAACCAGTTCTTGTAGAGAACCAGTTCCCAGTAGTTCAATTCCTTGGAATTGTTAGTCTGCTTGCCTATCGATTCTGCTTATTGGTTTCACTTGTACGTATGCTACAATCAGCTAATTTCAGTTTGTATGCGGAAAGAGGCAAATAGTGGTGCAATCTAAAGTGTGGATATGAACATTACTTTTATTTTTATTGCAAAAAAGGACACGAGAACAATGATAAACTGCAAACTGCAACCAAGACAGGAACAATGCCATTTTGCTGCTAACACAACTTCAGCTCTTTGCAAGCATCTGTCTGCATGACTGCAAACATTTTCTTCCTCACCACAGTGATTCTACTTTAGAGTCACTGTGGCGATCACAGTACCTTCAGCTACTGCTCATTTCTGGCCTTTTCTGTATTCAGTTTTATATTTAATGATGAAAAAGCATGTTCCATTTAGTTGAGATCAGGCAACTGACTTGGTATTTGAACAATAATTCATTTCTAAGGAAGAAAGCAACTGGAGGCTTCTAAGAGGCTTCTTCAGTTCCGAAATGAAGAAGCCTCTTGGATGACAGGTGAAATATAAAGGACTTCATTCAGCTTCTTTCCAAGCATCTTAGACTACTACAGTCCCGATCAAAAGTTTATCACTGCTATCACTGCTGAATATTTAAGAATAAAGATCCAACCATGCAAAATATGATTTTTTTTCTTCCTATTTTTCAAGTGGTCTTAAACTTTTGACCAGACTGTATAACCTGATGACTTACACAGATAAAGACCTCATTTCATTACGTTGTTAAACTCTTAGGTTAGCTTTGCGGTATGCTTTCAGCCATTATCCTTTTACACTAAACAGTGCTATCTGTCCACTTTTGCTGAATTTGGCTAAATCTGGATGGATAGACAGACGGACGACAGATGCAGCCTGAACTAAACTGAAAAAGCTAATTGGATGACATGTGAAGAGGCTTCTTCAGTTCTGACGTCAAGCATCTGGCTAAATCTGGGCGGACAAACGGAAAAACCAAAAAATTTATTTTTGAGCGCAGGAATTTATAATTATATACAACAGTGATTAAAAAAAAAAAAGATTTCTTCTGGATCACTCCACAGTTCCCTGTACTCCAACTCCTGTCAGCCTTAAGACACCCAACCGCTGCAGCGCCATCAGAGAACTTCTGCAGATGGCATGTTTCACTGTTGTACTGGAAATCTGAGGAGTACAAGGTAAACCAGGAATGGAGTCCCCTATTGTGCCACAGTATTACTGACCACCACATCAGACAGCGTGCCCCCCACCCCTTCTCATTCAGCAGAATGAAGCGAGGGTATTATAAATCAAAAAACATGACTCTCACAATGCCACCAGTACCATCTAGGTGACAGTGAGCACACTGCAACAGGTAGGTAACAGCATCATCCACTGGAAAGAAAACTGAACAGGTTCACCTGCAAGCTAAGACGGGCAAGAACCAGTCTCTTTAGCACCTTCATGACATGACATCAAGGCAACTGGTTTGAAGTTATTAAGATCAGAAGGACTGGCTTAATTTAATACTGGTACTAAACATGATGTCTTTCATAGCACTGGTACTTTTTCGTGCAGCAGACTCAGGTTGAAGAGATCCTGCGGGATGTCAGACAGATGGAACGGACGATTTACATTTTCTTTACCTCACTTTCACTCTCGCTCCAGCCCAGCACCCGTGACGTCTCTAAACACACAGAGCCACTCTCCTCAGCGTGACCCCCCCCACCATGAAAAACGTAAGAAAGACTGTGAGACCGTAGAAAAAAGGGTGGGGCAAGAGCATGTGACATTATACAAGTGACTGTCGGTGATCACATTGCGACAAGCATGCAAACAAAGAACTATTAGTTTGTAATGGATCCGAGTCTAGTCGTGTCAATCCTTGGCGAGTCAACTGGACAAGGGGTTTTTGATTGCTGAGGAAGTGTTGAGATTGGTGCTGTGTGAGGACGGGCAAGAGGGACTCCAGTACTGAACTTGTTGAAAAACAGATTCAGCTCATTGGCTCTAACCAGGCTACTCCCCTGCTGTTGTATGTCTTTGATTGAGTCTAGTGATAAGATGCATCAATCTCCACACCGCTTTGATGTTATTCAGCTGGAGTTTGGTCTCCAGCTTCTCTCGGTATATATCTTTAAACCTGATCAGTCCCACCATGGTATGTCCTTCTGAACTTGCAGCGGCTTTTTATCCATCCTGCATGTTTGCATACAGAAGGTCCAGAGTTTTATTGTCTCTGCCAACAGGTAGAGTGCAGTCCAGACTGATACGGGTAAAATCACCACTAATGGTGATGAAAGCCTCTGGATGTTTGCACCGTAGGTCAGCGACAGTCACTTGTATAATGTCACATGCTGCTGCCCCTGCTGATGTAGTCAAAGACAATTACAGTGGTAAAGAATATGGGCAAATACTCTCAGTTAAAGTTCAATGTCTAGCGAGCAGAGACATTCCTTCACAGTAACATGTCCTGGATCTTTCATCAACTAACCCTGCAATCCCTCCACCTTTCTTCTTACTATTCAGCTTGGCGTCTCTGTCGCGTGAAAAGTGAAAAAGCACTATGGTCCAGGTGCAGCCATGTCTCTGTGAAGAATAATATACTGCACTCCCAATACTCCCTTTGATGTCTTAACAGCCTACCGTCTTATTAGCCAGAGACCTCACTTTTCCCATAGTGACCGATGGAATGGACGATTTATATTTTCTTCACCTCACTTTCAGCCTCTCTCCAGCCCGGCACCTGCGACGTCTCCTCTGATGTTCTTGCGGTATGACCAAGCTGGCTTTAGTCAACAGCGGTGTTTTGGAGATCACTAAAATGTGTATGTAAACACACAGAGCCACTCCGCTCAGTGTGACCCCCCCCCCCATGAAAAATGTAAGAAAGACTGCGAGACCATAAAAACAAGGAAGAAAAGACTAAGGTCCATGGTTTATAAAAAACTAAACTAAACTAAACTAAACTGAAAAAACTATGGGAGGCACTGCAACAGATTGCCACTCTCACAGTGAATGAAAAAATGAGGCCATTTATCGGACTGAACCTCTGAAAATAGGGCTATATATAAAAAAATGTCTGTAATTTTATAACAGTTCATGCAAAATTTTAGTAAAATCCCTCAAACTAAGCCTGCAGTTTAATCATATTGATTGTTTTCAATTTACAGTCTACTGTGGTGAAGTACGAAGGCAAAAATTATGTCTTTGTCCCACACATTACAAAGGGCACTGTAGCTACAATATTATCAGACATTCCCCGGAATACAGAGTGAAAAACAAATTTAGGGAGAGGCAGAGGCATTTCCTTTGAGATAACAATGAGCCTGCACATTAGAGGATGAAATTAAGATATGAGGAGGCAATGTGATATCACAGGGATGTTCATTACAGTCAAACAGAATGGTTTTTTTAAATCATACATATCACAAAGGCCACCAAAAGTAAACTTCAAAATGAAAAGTGGTAGGAAGGGATCTTTCAGCCAGTTGTGATGTAGTCTACTTTGTTCTCATCATGGTCCAAAAGGAGACAAAACTTATTTCACATCTAGAAATCTAGAAATAGTTTACCTTCTAGAGCAGGGGTGTCAAACGTGTGGTGTGGAGATATATATATTTATGTGAAAAGGTGAATTCAGCCTTTCACCACCACTTACATTTTTTTATTGCAGACTGAAATTTGAGGCAATATTTGCATATTACCATCCATCAAAATTAATCAAAAGTTGTCCTGTAAAATCCCATATTTGAGCAGACTCTAATAAAAACCTTCACATTTCAAAAGACAACTATTAATGCATAGTTATAGGTCACAAAAATCCAGAAGAAAACACGTAGAACATATTTTAATATAAAATCCTTAGTCACAAAAATTAAGAAAATTATATTATATTGTCATTCTACTTTCATGTTGAATTTAACAAATATAACAAGCTATATAT